ACTGCCCGGTACTCCCCCGCTGCGCCACCGCTCGGCCCTCTGCACCCTGCCTGCACCCGGGGCGTTTCCAGTCCCGGTTCAACACACACATTCCATCGGCCGGCTCCGCTATCCGGTCGGCCCCGCTACAGTTCCTACATGTTCACTCCGCCCAGGCGGAGTGCTGCAACCCTTCGCCCCCCCCCCCAATCGCCGAGCTCCTCCACAGGTAAGTGGACCGCGGAATCAGGGGCACCGGGCCGCTGCAAGGCCTACAATGCGCGTCCAGCTTAGGCGAGCCTTGGTGCACCTCTTGGTGGTTGCGGCCAGCATCCCGGGGACTTTGAAGGCCGAACTGGAGATGATACCGCGGACCCGTCGTAGCCCCGCCGTGGGCCTCGTCACTGTCCCCTGGGCCCGGTCTACCATCCCGCGGACCTCAACGGGCATGCTCACACTCAAACCTCTCCCAACAAGCTGCAGACAACGGCGCTCCCGCGGACCGGCCCCCGCCGTTCAGTTCCCTTCCTCCTTGCAGCCTAATCACCCACCGGCTTGCGTATACGTTGAGCTAGTTGGTCCGTACTCCCAACTGGCGAAGCCGAGGAATTTCGCCAGCATTCGGAATACGCAAAACACACGGGTCCACCAAAGGGGGCGTGCACTCAGGGTCCTCAGCTGCCATGACGGCCCTCGACCTCGGCGTCACGGCCGGGTCAAACAACGACTGACGCGTAAGAATAATAATGTCAATACAACTAAATAATAAAATATCTAAACTTTTGATCGTCGGAATATGGCGAGCGAGGGAAAGGAAAGTGCTAGCCCCGTTCCAACGCCGCCGCTGGCAAAACCAAAAGGGATAGCCCCGCCAGGCCCTCAACCCCTCGGTCCCTCCGTGCCACTTTGATATTCCCGCGCCGTCGTCGCTCGTCCTCGATCCCTGAACCTCCGTCTCACAAACCCGATACCGTAACCAATAGGGCTAAGCCCAAGCTTGAGACTAATATCCGCGTAGTGCCATATAAGGCGGTACGGCGCTGCGTTGAGGGCCAGGAAAATTGGCCTGAGCCTCATCTCAGCCTACAACCGCGTGCGCGGCCGCCCAGCGTCTGCGCCGACTTACCAAACTGTACCACGGCCGCCACTCGCGCCACTCCGCATGCCAAGACCTACCGCAGTCACACTGTCGCCTTCGTCGCCGCCGTCGAGGTCGTCTTCTGTACCAGCGAAATAAGATTATACTTAAATCCTAGTCTAATCAAGAATAAACAAAAATAAAAATAAAAATAAAGATAAAAATAGAGACGAACCGACTGGTGCCCACGCCGGCTTTATAATCAACGATAGAAACGGAATCACGTGCGCCTCAAACCTGCACGCCCACACACTCTCTATTCTAGCCAACCATTCTGATCAACGTAAATCGCAGACGCAACCGCGCCTAGCGTGGTATACTTAAACTTTCAAACTTATTTTCTGTCACTTGCAAAAACCAGGGCGGATACCCTTGTAAGGGTATTTGCGCCGACAGCGCTTGGCTAGGGGGTCTTCAGGGGGGGAAATGGGAAGGATCAGATGGAAAGAGTATAAGGCTGATCAACAGGGAGAACGACAAGAAATTAGAAGGGAGCATTATCTCAGCTTCCATGATTGGACAAACATTGACCCCTCAATCCCTCTACGCCCTATGTCTGAATTCCCAGATCCTTTCCCACCTTCAGCAATGAGTCTGGTCCCTCGAAGTTGGTATGGGCTGGATTAAATGGTCTTTTGTCCTAACAACAGGATTTCCAAACTTCCTTTGTTGAAGTTTAGTTGCTAGAGTGATTTTGACAGATCTGGCGCTCATCCATAAAGGTGAAGAGGCGGCTGTTTCAACAGTCGATCAGGGAGATCATGAGGAATTCCCTACAGATGTTTTTTGATAAGTTTCATATTCAAATTGTACATGGGACGCTGGACCCGTTTTCCGGCAGGTGACGCTCCCCACCAATAGATGGAGCCGCCCTCCGGGTATTAGAGGTGTCTGCTCTTATCAGCACCTCTAACACTGCTGGAGGCATTCTTTTATTAAAAAAAAATTAAAAAAATCCTAATTGTGCACTATGCAAATTACCCTAAAAAATGAAAAACAAAACAGAACTTTCAAAAACAAAGCCTATCACCCTTGAAAATAGCCCAACCCTGCAGATCCACTTTGCCACCCGCACGGCAGCGATCTGTAAGCACAGACCCCGCAAATCCACCCACCTCCTCGTGATTCAAAGCAGATCACTCCACCCCCTACGCTACCTACCCTAAAACAGAAACTCCCTCCATGATGGTGTTTCAGCAAACCCTGCGAAAAGCCCTACCTCCCGCGCGGCAGGGGCCAAAGGCCCCGCAAAGCCCACCCACCTCCTCGCGATTTAGGGTAATCCGCACCCCCGTCCGCATGCACTCCCCAATGAGATCTTCACCTCCCTCCATGATGAAAATCGTATGGAGCAACGCTCCCCAATCCCACAAGAAAAGGATGATAGCAGAAAACTCCAAGCACACACAAGGACTCTGGTGAACACATACCCTATTGCAATAAACATAGGTGGGGTAGGAGGTGTAGTGCTGTCGGGCACCACGGCCGTGATTGCGATGATTTTCTTTCCTGCCGCATGGGTATTTCGTTTGAACTTTTCATAACAGAGCTTCCCCCACTTCTGTGGTTAGGGGCTAATTTGGATCGGGGGGGAAGCTGATCGCAACTACTGATAAACTACTCAGCTACTGAATCTAGCTTGCCCTGTTGTAATCTCTTTGCCTGATCTGTATCTCCCCTACTCCTCACGGTGCAGAAGAATGGACTGGTTAATTGAGGAGGTAAGAAGGGAAGAGTTTGATTTAACACAAAGCGGGGTTAATCCTCCCTGACTGGGGAGCAATCAATGCCCCGTGATTATACTACTTTGGTGTTATACAAGGAAGCTGTCTCCAGGGGAGCATTGGCGAAGGCTCTTCCAGCCCTAATGGGAAGAGGCGTGTGGTTAAATGTTGTAAATCAGATTCATAATTGGATCCTTGGGCACTGGGCCCTGTGTTTTCAAAAAAAAAAAAAAAAAGAACGTTTTTTTTTCTTTTTTCTTTTTTTTTCTTCAAACACCCCCCCCCGCCAGTGTTAGTGCTGCTGGTAAGAGCAGACACCACCAACACATGGGAATAGGCTCCATCTATTAGTGGGGAGCATCACCTGCTGGAAAACGGGTCCAGCGTCCCTTGAAAGAAACATGTCTTGAGAAAATGAGAACAGTGATTTGTGAGATCTGCCAGCATTGATTGCCCTGCAACCCAGGGGATTGACTGAGCAGATCCTGTGTAATATCCAGTAAAATAGCCATGTGTAAGCATGCAGGGCAGCCAATCTCTTATGTATCTCTTCCCCCTGCGGTTTCGGCCGCAAGGCCGCGAAGAAAAAAAAAAAAAAAAAAAAAAAAAAAAGGAAAACAAAAAAAAGAAAACAAAAAGGCTTCATAAACATCTGAAAAAATATATGTTATGCCCAAAAATAAACTGAACAACTTTTGCCTTGGGGTCATATCAAAATTCATTACCAAATTTGAGATTAAAATCAAATAAAATCCTTTATTTTTCTTACTAAAAGAATAAAAAAAAGTGAAGAACTTTAGCCTGAGGGATTTCTGTTTTTCATTTTGTAAAAATCGAAAAAGAAGTAAAAAAATAAAACTAAAATATGGGGTTGTAGAGCGCACAAAAACCTACAACCCCATATTTTTATTTTATTTTTTGGCCTATTATCCCAGGATTTAAAAATATTGGGGTTTTCCGACCGCACTTGGTCACGGGCGCCGCCCGCTGCGGTCGGGATGCCAACCGCATGCGGTCAAATGGCCTGCGGTCACGACCGCGGGTGATACATAGCATCTAGATGCTAGTCCCTACTTGCGAACAAGTACTGTAGATACTGGGGCCTGTCCTCCCAGCTATATCTTTAGGTAGACCGGCCAGGTGTGAGGGGGGGATGGGGAGGCAGGTTCTGCGTCCAGGGGGCGACTGGGGCAGAGACCTAGTCCTCCTATTCCCTTTCTCCATCCTGACCGATCCCACCCTGATTGTGATGGGCGGGCACCACAGTATCTCGGCCAAACCAGCTCATCTCTACTAAGGTATTGTGTGATGGGGGGAAGAGATCCGGGAACTCAGAGGCCGGGGGGAGTGAAATGTCGCTGAAGATTTCAGTCCATTTATGGAAAAACAATCGATAATCCTTCTGACATTTGTCTAGGCGATCATTGTCATCCAAAAGCCAGCCATTCCATTGTATCCATGCAATCCGTCCCCCCTGTTCCCCCCCCAACCAGTCCATGCAGAATTTGTTTAGCTTTTGGGTAATGTCAGCTCTTTTTGTGAGAGCTCTCATTTCTTGTTCCTTCTTCTTCCACTGAGCTCTGATTACTGTTTTAATCCTGTCTTTGATCATTTCCGATGTTCCGCCACTTCCAATGTGGGCATCCTCAAGTACTAGGATGCATCTGCGTCGCCAAATGGCCCATAACACAACTTCCCTCCCAATGCTAAATAAGTTGGATGTGAAGGACGAGGATTGGGCAGTCCAGTGACCGGTTAGCAGGGCTCTCCATTCCCATGGCCAGTGAATGTAACCCAAAACATTAACGAACCTGCAGAAGTACCCTTCATGGTGGTTTGCACATCATTCTATTTAATTTGATTTGACTTTATGTTATTTTGCCAATGGGACGAGTACTGTTTTGCTAACTCCGTTTCGTTTTTCTTTGCCTTTGATTTTATTTTTTTATTTTTTTTAAGAAAAACAACCCGAGTTGATGCGACGGGTGCAAAATTTTAAAATTATCCTTTCCTTTTTCTGCTGGGTTGCAGGCGAGCTTCTCCCCTGGAGGTAATGTCCTCTCTTGCCTTCAGCACATGAACGATTTTTTTACTTTTTTGTTTTTTTTGTCAATGGGACGAGTATTGTTTTGCTGACTCTGTTTTGTTCTTCTTCACCTTTGCAAAAAAATTTAAATTACCCTTTCCTTTTTTTGCTGGGTTGCAGACGAGCCCCCTCCCCTGGAGGATATGTCCTCTCGGCTTCAGCTCATCAACTTCGACTCGGCACTACAAGGTTAGGTTTGCCGTTTTTTTTTGTTTTTTTTTTTTTGAAAGGTTCAGAGCCCAAGTCCCACTAGCACGAGTTTGGTTTTGATTCCGATACCAATGCGGCAGGGTGCAGCAGGGGGCGGCAGGGGGCGGCAGCGTGTGACACCATTTCGAAGCTTCTTTTTTTCTTTTTGTCTTTTCTTTGGAATTCGAAGTTTTTTTTAGGAAGTCTGAAACAGTGTAGAAGGGTCCCGCAATGATCACAATCTGCGAGGAGTTTCGGGAGTGCCCGTCGTACAGCATTGCTCCACCTCACCAAATGTGCAAAATGAGAATGTATTTTGAAATTTGAACTATTTTGCCCTGTACATGGGAAAATAGTAAAATACATCGTACAACGTTTTTGCCTTTCGTGTATGTGGCGAGAAGCGCCAAAGGCCGTGGAGTGGAAGTTCACGCACAAAGCATGTGTACTGTGCACAGAGAGAGAGAGAGAGAGAGAGAGAGAGAGAGAGAGAGAGAGAGAGAGAGAGAGAGAGAGAGAGAGAGGGGTTTGGTTTCTCACATACCCCACAACATGGAAGGAACCAAAACCACCCAATAGTGTTGGCAAATATTTCAGAAATCCGTCAACCAATGAAAGACGCCGTTTAAATCTCAATTTTACGCGGCATTCGAACTACTTTTCCTGGCCCTCCGATCATCTGCACTCCACGGACGGATGGTACGTCGCACCGTGCGGCATAGGGCCAACCAAAACTTTTCAGACCGCTAGTGGGACTTACCCCCAGGTTTGCTGTCCAAAGTAGTTGCTCATTGTTCAAGTATCCCTTTTTCTTTCTGTTTTAGTTATTAAAAAACGAAATCAGAAACTCCAACAGGAATCCATCCTCCAGTCACAGCTTGATCTATGTTAAAAAAAAAAAAAAAAAAAGCAAAAAAAGCCTATACAGGTGACCCCTAAAAGGTGAAATTGAGAGAAGAACGTAGCTTCTTTTAGAAATAAATATATATGAATAAAATTATCGTTGGTTCCGCTCCAGCAATGTTTTTCATAAATTTCATTCTCTCTTCTCACCCAGGATTACATTTTTTTTTTTTAAATAGTTATATCCATTTCCAGGGATCCAAGGACTCAAAAAATTGAAATAACGAAATTCTTGAGTCATTTCAATAGGCTCAGAAATCACATGTTTCTCTGTATCATCGTAGCGTACTTCCACATATCCACCAGTACATCCCGCTATCGGCCACAGACCCTTTTCGGTGGCCGCCTGCCGCTGATTCAATTTATCTACGGCACTGGGCCTCCTAAATTTCCGTAGGCGACGCGTTTTCTTTTCAGCAAAGTTGGGGCCGTATACTGACGGTTTAAGGGAAAGGGGCTCGTTAGACACTCCTTGGGGCGTCCTCGGGGCCCAAGGAAAATTCCTTTGGGATTTTGAAGGAAATTCCCGCCCTCGTTCCACCTATCCTTGGGGTGGTCTCCCGAAGATGATTCCTTTCGGCCCCCGGCGACCATTTTCATACTATTATAGTCGGCCCGGGGGGGGGGGGGGGCAGTGCTTTGGTCCATTGGGTGATGTCTGTCTTGCTACGGTGTGGTCCAGCTACCAAAGGCGGGAAATTTTGAAAGGTGATGGCGATAGGAAAAAACAAAAAAGAACTTAAAATGCAATGGTCGATTGGGTGCTGGACGTCACGACGGCGACGATGGGCAGGTGGCGTCCATATCTGCGACGATCGAAACAAGCATTTGCAGCGGCGCAGTGAAGTCCTCTTAACTCGTCACGAATTTGTGAGCGTCCCGCGAAGGTCCATCGCCATCGCCTCCTCCTGCCACCGCGCCTATTTGGTTGAGTCGAGCACACGCGGGGAATGTCGTCAGGGACTTGGCGTTGAGGTTACCGTGGTCGTGGCGAGTTGGTAGGCTGTTGTATTTTCGTGGTTCATTAGCATTGCAACACACGTGCCGATGGAGGGTGGCAGCGACGACGGACGTGCGAAGTTGACGACGATCGAGAGGACGGCCATGGCGACGACCGTGGCGACCGTGCTCTTTCGTTGTCAGCAGGGCAGAATGAGAGCGCAGATCCACTCACGGAGGAGGAAGACGCTTCATCAAGTCCCGGCCGAAGGGCTGGATACCGTGGCCATCACCGAGGTTGTACGTCAAGTCCCGGTCGAAGGGCTGGATACCGTGGACATCACCGAGGCTTAGTTCAGGTTTGCTGCACCATGGGTTGTGGTGTTCTTCCACGAGCGACGCCAAGGTGGTGGATGAAAAGGAGGATAGGGGGGGCATGGGAGAATTTCAAGAATGCGATGATGCGATGGAGGAGTACTTAGGGAAGAACCTGCGTATGTCACCACGTGTCTTTCGGGCGATGACGATTGCATTCAGTGTGGACGAACGCACGTGGGGCGTGCTGCCGATGTCGATGTCGACTGCAGTCGGTGTCGATCCCTTGTCTTCTCTGCTGGAGGCGTTCGATAGAAGTTGGCCATCAACAATAAAGGATGCACGCGTGGAATAGGAGGACCACGACAAGCAAAATTGTGACTAGGAGCAGCAGTGGCAACCTTCAATAGAGGTCGGTCATCAACGACACATACGACAGGGCCATAATTTTACGATGACGGTTAAGGTCCACCAAACGGCGACGATGAAGGGAGCAGACGGTAGAGGATAGCACTCGACACACTCACTCTAACGGGTCATACGCCCTTGCACTATGAGCTGGCCCGTGGCTTGCGCGGCGGCTTCTAGACTGGTCCATTGAAGACCTGCTCTTCGCCTACTGCCCATCCATACTACATCCTTCTTCACAGACCGCCTCTTATGTGTACGTCCAGGCACCTTGCTAAGGATGCAGACGTGGAAGAAAACGACAAGGACAAGCAAAAGGATGCCCAGGAACAGTAGCGGCAGCCATCGAAAGACATTGGCCATGAAAGGCACGTGGGGAAGGGCAGTAGCCAGACGACAACGGTACACCTCCAACAAACGGAGACGAAGAGGGCTACAAACGGTAGACCGCAACATGGGACAAACGCCTTGTAACGTTTTTCATCGCGTAATACAGTGGGCAATCGGAGCAAGGGGGGTCGGCTGAAGTATTCAAATTTGCCGACCATTCGACCCCTTTCCATTAGCAGCACACACTGTGAGGGAGAACAATGGTCAACGACATCTGGGGGGCTGGCCGACCACCAACGGTTACCGTTGGCGTAAGGTTCCTGGAAGCCGAACGTTGAAGACCCAAGATGTCCGTGCGCTGCCCGGTAGGAACTGCAATGGACCAGCTGACCAAAATTTATTGCCGATGACGGGTGCCCTCGCTGCTCCGATTATCGCGGATCCTTGATTGGGGAACGCCACCAAATGGCTGTAGGCCGAGGACGCCCCAAGGATTCCCTGAGGAAATGTTTTCACATTGTTTTTGCATTTTCACCCCCGAGGATAGGTGGAACGAAATTTTCCTCGGGGGATTTATGCGCCCGAGGAGTGTCTAACGAGCCCCAAAGTCTTTTCGTAACGGATGACAACAAACGAGAGGCTGTGACAAACTGTTTCTTCAGAGTTTTACCAAATCATGATATTAAAAAAAAAATAAAAAAAAAATCATTAATCCTATCCCTTAAACCACCAATACCTCGCCCAGCTATCAAGTCAGAGGCTTGGACTACCAGTAGCCCGGTCATTCCCGAGGCTCGGACTACCGATAGCCCGATTATTCCCGACCCTCGAACTTTACTGTCGAGCCTCAGACAACCGGTAGTACATCACGGAAAAAGAAAACAAAGAAAAAACACAAAAGAACATACAACATTCTGTTAAAAAAAAAGAAAAAAGAAAAAGGAAATCAGACATGCCCAACGAGAATGAATCTTCCTCGATAAGGAGGAAGATTTGTTCTCATGGGAGGTTCACACACACACACACACCTGTCTCTTATACACATCTAGATGTGTATAAGAGA